GGGTCCATGCGAATGCCATTGACTCCCACGATGAGTCCTAGGAATTTGGTTTCTTGGACGAAAAACTCACATTTTGAGATATCTGCTTGCAGTCCAGCTTCTCGAAGCTTCTGTAGGACTTTCCTTATGTGCTCTGTATGCTCCGCTCGAGTAGCACTGTAGATAAGAATGTCATCCATGTATGCGGTGACGAATTGGTTGAGGTAATCCATGAGGGTTTCATTCATGTACCTCTGGAATGTTGCTGGACCATTGGTGAGTCCGAAGGGCATGACCTTGTATTTGTAGAATCCAAATCGAGTTCTGAATGTAGTGAGGTCTTCATCTTCTTCTGTCTGCATTCGAATTCGATTGAAGGCATGTCGAATGTCCAGTTTGGTGAGATATTTTGCTCCTATGACTTGGGCCAGCGTTTCATCAATGAGTGGTATGGGATATCGATCCTTTTTCGTTATGGCATTTAGCTTCCTGTAGTCAACACAGAATCGAAGACCACCACCTGGCTTTCTCACAAACATAATGGGTGAAGAGTATGGGGCTTTGCTTGCTTCAATGAACCCTTTTGTTACGGCTATAGTAACATGATGTCATGGTTACAGGGCCAGGGCCTAGTAACGTGACGTGTGAGTCACATAACGTGACGTGTGAGTCACAGTGGGAAGCGGGGTAGGCTGCCATGTGACGGGGCTAATGGATAGTTGCAGAAACTAGTGGATATTGGATAGTTGAGCTATCCACGGACTATCCTGAATATCTAGCTATCCGCCAACTATCCAGATTACCCATGAGGCACGACGCCACTATATAAGTAGATAGTATTTCCTTAGATAGGAGCTTCGTGCTCAACTCAATACAGTATTTGTTATATACTAGTAACGTGTTACTTGAAGCCTTTGTGTCTGATCCCCTGCCTCCTCTGATAAGTAAACCTTTACGCAAGAGAACCTCTGTGTCTTCTATCATTTAGAAGTCAGCGTTACACCTTTTGGCAAGTGCTCGAAGACATATTCTTCGACCAAATCAAGTTCTTCCTTTGACATATTCCAGAGTGGTGCATATCCCAGCTTTGCATCACCTTCGAGTTCAATATGATGGTCTGAAGGTCGATGGGGAGGTAGCTTGTCTGCTGCCATTTTTGAAAAAACATCCAAAAATTCATGAAATTCCTTCGGAAGGATCAGTCGAGAGTCAATTTCTTCAGTTTTGGTCTTGTTCTTGTGCTCGATTATGTCCTTCATTGATATAGCAAAGACTTGAGCTCCTCTTTGCTTCATGAGCATTTGAAATGGTGCTGCGCCAATCATTGCTATGGTGCAAGGTTTTGGTTTTTCCACTTTCGGAGCAGGTTCCGGAGGAGGCATTTCTTTGGCTTTCTTCTTTGGCCTTTGTCTTTCGCTTTTAGATATAGGCTCTGTTTCGAGGGCTGGATCTGGTATAGAATGGTTGCAATAATCTCCAGTGAAGAGGACTTGATCATTGATCATATCGAGAACAACTCCATGTTGCTTCATCCAAGCTTTCCCGAGAATGATGGAATGTTTTCCCAGCGAAGTAATGAATAATGGACATAGGCTTTCCACATGCTCTCCTACTTGTAGTCGAGGATATATAGCATGTGTGATAGCAGGGGCAGCCTCTCCATTGAATCCTTCAACTTGTTTTGGCTTCACAAGTTCGACTGGGGCTATCCCTTCCATTTCACATATTCTTTCTGCATCAGCAGCATTAATGAAGTTTCCACCTGTGGCACCAGTATCGATCAATGCATGGACAATAGCTTTGTATTTTCCTATTCTACAAGTAGCTAAGAAAGGGGTGTCCGGATCAAAACTGGATCTCGAGGAAGAAGCTGCAATTCTGGCTGCACTGCCTCTAGTGATGACTTGTCTAGAGGCTATTCGTTTTTCGAATCGATGATAGACTCAGCTGTAGATACCTCATTCACTTGAGCTTTGAGCTTCTGGGGACAGTCTCGAGCTCGATGTCCATTTTGTCGGCATATGAAGCATTTCCCAAGTTTCATGAGCATTTCTTTTGCTGGATCTTGATGCGGTGGTCGATACAGCTTCTGCGTCTTGTTTTGCATGTTGGAATCCATTGTAGGTTGAGGGATTGAAGTTCGAAGTGCCTGGCCCTGATTTTGAGTTTGGCCCATGTTGTTCGAAAATGACTTTGGCTTCCTTTTGTCTTCTTGTTCCTTGATCCGCTGAATGTTCTGGTCGATGAGCATGCATTTCTTTGCAAACTCGTGAAGTGTAGTAGCTCCAACTTCAGCCACTAAGGCTTTCTGCATCTGTTGGTTGACTTTGAAGCGCAAGTCATCCAGCAAAGCTCTCTCGTGAGCCTTTGAAACTCAGCCCAGAACACTGCAAAGGTGTTGTTTCTCTGATACAGCTTTCGATACTCAGTTTGAGCTGTGTGCCTTCGATCGGGATCACTGAAGACTTTTTCCAAAAGTTCGAGAATTTTTTCTGCTGTCTGCAATTTGTTTGTAGAGTTTGGTCGAAGCCTTGGATTGACATGTCGAACTGCCAGTCCTCCCAGTCGACTCTGAATGTAGCTCATTTGTAAAGTCTGTGTTGGAAAATGATCAATGTTGGCTTCGAGCTTGAGGCAAATTTTCACAACCCAGTCTTCAAATGCTGGCTCTATCCCATCTGTGAGGATTGGAGGGTCTGGAATCCGAGCTGACAGTCGACTGTGAGAGTGGTGTCCTGGTTCATTCTTCAGAGCTTGTTGGGTTTGCTTTTCAAGATATTTCTGAATTGTTTGTTGCTCTGTGATTTGTTGCTCGTTGCTCTGGATCAGTTCCTGTAACTGGAGAATGGCATCATCCTTTTCAGCCAGTATCGAATTTGAGTCCTCTGCTAGGGCCAAATAGTCCCGAAGAATGTTCTTGTGCAAAGTCCATGCCATTTTCTGGTTGGTGACAGATAGTTTCTGGAATTCGTCAAAGGTTTCAACATTCCATTCAGCCTTTTCATGTCGATTTGCAAGTATAGATTCATGTCTCTCTTGAGCTGTTTTGCCCAGAGTGTGAAGGAAGGTTTCGGATTTGAAATTAGGATCATGAAGTTCATTGGTTTGGTTTGCAGAGCTTGGAATTGATGCTCCTTCTGCCAGGGATTCCTGGTCTTGTTCTGAATCATTTCGAGCTGCCATTGCAGCTTTTTCTTCAGCTGTATAAGCCATAGCGAGTTGCTATTTCAATTTCGGTTTATATCGTCAAGTCAGACACATATTGCCAAAGGCCCTATTGTGCAGTTGTTGGCTGTAGGAGCCACTCGAGAGGAGCGCACTTCCCTCACAGTTATATCCTTGTCGAGGGAGCGTTGTAAAAGGTCTGACTTGCGAAGGTGGTGTGTGTGTATCGAGCTGACTGTCGAAAGCCAACTTTGAGAGGTTGCCTCGAGATCGTCCTGGAATCGACTTCAGGATAAGGTTTCTGGTTCTGGGGTTTTCAAAGAGTGGATTTCGATTTCGATTTCAGAAGAGGGTTCAGCTCAAAGAGCAGGAAAAGAGGTATAAGAGAGATTGAGTTTTATGTCACGGTTCACCAAGGCATAGGGCGCCAGTTGGGTATTATGAATTAAACTCAATCTAGAGAAGAAAGGAAAGAGAAGAGGAGCACTCGAGCAGTGGCTCGATCTATATACAGCTATGTTGTTGTGGAGTGAATTCTCTTTAGCGAGACCAGTTCTGAGAATTCACTCCACAACTGAAAACTTCGCTCCAACCCCGGAAAGCTCCCCACACCCCTGAACCCCCACTCGAGCTGCAAGGCGCACTTGATATCGTAACAAGCGTAGGGGAACAGCGGTGCCGTAATGTCTCTATCAGAAATAATCATTTTTAAGGAAGAAAGAGGAAATCTTGGACTAAAGGAGTGAGGTGAAGTGTTAAAGGGGAGTAAAACACCCGCAGTTTTGTTGGTGATGTTGCTCCTCAATAACTTCAGGCTTTGCAAAAATATCCACCTCCCTAGCAAGAGATTTACGCACCAATAGTCACTCGCCCTTGTCCTCGGATTATATTTATTTTCTTAGATATAAGGTTGCGCCTCGTGATATCACTCTAGAAAGTTAATAGAGATTCATGAACAAAATCCAAAGTCATCATATGTGAAAAAGCCAGACAATGATAATGTATCTCTATATGTGCAAATAAAGGTATTAACAGCAGATATGTGCTAGGAAAATGGAACAGATGAATCACAGTCATGGTCAATATTATTATGAACAATAACATGGTATGAGATCAGAGAATACGAAACCCAAAAAAATCCGATTCACTCCCTAAAGCGAAGACCAATACTAACCAAGACGAACGAGAAGACCATTCAACCATCTAAAGCTCCAGATGTGCTTCAACCACACGCAAGATCGCCCTTAGGGTATCAATTGTCTCTCACAGAGAAATGGACAAGATGAAGCAGGTGGTTTGATCCGGGGTGCAGATGGGGCGGCCATGGTTGGCGGTGGGGGGCAACGGTGGTGAGAAGCCCGTCGGTGGTGAGAAAAGAGTGACAGCTAAATAGCGACAGCGGGGGAGGCGCGTTGACAAGACCATCGCAGTCTTCACTCCATCTGCGAGCGGCATGTCATTTGCGATACTAATGAAGGGTCCGGCACCGACCGCCTAGTCGTATTGACTTCTGCGTTGTTCGTTGGACACCCCGCAGGTGTCTAGCCTTGGTTGCACAAATAAAAAACCATGAAATCACAAAATAAAAAAAGGCGCCTCTAGCGCCCCCCCCCCAAGAAAATGCCCGAGCTCCTACCATCAAACAAACCCCTATTCTCCATAAAAATCCCGAGCAGAAAGACAGCACCTCCAGCGAACGAGGTAAAAAAAAAAAAAAAGTGTAAAGCGCGAGACATAAAAAAGACAGGGGAGAATTCAACCAACACCGCGAGTGCGCAGTTGAGGGCAAGGTGTGGCGACAAGGAAGAACACAGGGTGATTATACACCACCACCACCCCCACCCCCACCCGCCTCCCTAACCCTCACCCTCTCCGCCTCCGCCTCGACAGCAGCAACCAACTCCCCCCCTCCACCCCCCCAGCCCCCCCTCCTCATCCTCCTCCCCCCCAAACTTAGCACCAAACCTCAACATCCTCCCCTCCTCCTGCGACAACGCCTTCGACGCCAGCGACACATCCGAATTATGCCTTGACAGTATCGGGCGGCTCGTGCGTCCCTCTTCTGGGACGGCATCGATGTCCTCGTCTGACAGCGCCGTTTCGTCGGGGTACGCGTAGTCTGCCGCGGAGCCGACGGGGGGGTGGGTGGCGGTGGCGGGGTTGGAGGGGGTGTGGAAGGTGGTGGGGAGGGCGGTGGTGAAAGGGGGGGAAGGGGGGAGGCGGGTATCGGGGTATTCGTTTTCGAAGCGGGTGATCATGCGGGAGAGGGTTTGGTCGAGGAAGAGGAGTTTGTCTGGTTTTTGTGTTAGAATCATGGGAACAGCAACGGTAGTATAATATAACCAGGGCAAGGGAAAGAACTCACGATAATCCAACCCCCCCGACTCCTTCGCCTCCTTCAACAACGCCGGCTGCAACCGCGCCCTAATCCTCCTCGCACTCCCCAACAGATTCTTCGACATATCCCTTGCCCTCCCCGCACCAGCCGCCCCCGCCCCACCCTCATCGCCCCTCCGCAAATCAACAGACGACCGCACAGGATCCCTATCAATGCTCGCCCTTCTCGAATCCCCAGACCGGTTCTTCAAACAGATCCCGAGCGCCTTGACCACCCCCGTACCACCAATAACGTAATCCTCATCCGGTGCCCCCGCGCCCTCGCCATCAACACCATGAAACGCCGCATCGGCATCATCATCCACATCATCCGCATTAGAAGCATAATGGTACCCCACCAAATGCGCCAGCACATCCGGGACCGCTACATCATCGCGCGGCTCCGTAGCGGGGGGCGGCGCAGACGGATCCTGCGTTATCTCCGCGACGGGGCCGCGCTCCATGTTACGGAGCGAGTAGGCGACGACTTGTTTCGCGAGGGCCTTGACGACTTCGCTTGATGCCGCGGTGGGGAGGTCGATGTCAATGCATACCAGACTCCTCGATACGCGGACCGCCGCCATGAGGGAGGCGTACAGCGCGCAGGCTTCCTCTTGTTGCCCCTCTTCCCCCGCTGTAGCGAGGGCGGTGAGTTCCGGGTTCCCGAGGAGGTTGACGTGTGCGAGGCCTGGGGAATCGGGGAAGATCTCTGCGAGGGCGATGACTTGCTCGGGGGACATGGCGCAGGAGGAGAGGTGGATGCGTTTTAGGGATTGTAGGAGAGGGAGGTACTTGCGTAGTAGCTGCACGGCGGAGGGTTTGGTGGCGAAGAGAGCGGCGTTGTGGCTTAGGTCTATGAAGCGGAAGTTGCTGAGCCGCACCAGTGCCGGGAAGAGGTGCGCGAGGGAGTCGGGGGTGAGCCCGCAGTTGGCGAGGGAGAGGGCGAAGAGGGGGTGCGAGGGGGAGATGGAGTCGACGAGTGGGTCGGGGAGGTCGCCGAGTTGGTTACCCCCCAGGTCGAGGCCTTCGCATTTCCCGGCTTCGAGATAGCGTGCTACGTGAGACATGCCTTCAGCGTCGAGGTTGTTGCCGGCGAGTCCGAGACGGCGGAGGCCTGCTTGGATGGCGCCGTCTACGATGAGGCCGATTTGTGGGGCTGTTAGGCCTGTCTCGGCTATGTTGAGAAGCTCGAGTTCGGCGCCTGCGAGGCGCGTGCCGAGAGCTTTTGATAGTATCGCTGCTGGGTCTGTAGCTGCTGCTGTCACCGTCGCCGTTGCTGGAGTGCCGATCCTTGCGGGTGTCGCTGGAACTGCACCAGGAAAACCGCCAACAACAGGCGACGCATTCTCCATCGACTTCGGCGACACAGCGTGCGGGAACGGAATAATCGAGACGTCCAGATTTCGCAGCGAGCGCGACATATTGACAAATAAACTAATATGCCTCCACCCATCACGCCCGATCTTGGGATTATTCTTCAGAGTGACGCGCTGCACAGCGCCGTGACGCGGGACCGTTGTAGTAGCGCCGTGGTGATGCCCTAATGGCGACCGGCGCGGCTTCACCTGGTCGGGGGAGCTTACGGCGAGGAGGCTCGCGAGGATAATGCGTACGCCTTCGTCGGTGAGGCCACAGTTCTCCATGATGAGCTCCTTGATGGGAACGACCGCTAGATAGTCACCCAGGGTGGCGAGATCGGCGAGCTGAAGCCAGCAGTCTGTCAGGTCTAGGCGGGTGACGACTCCAGGTTTGTCGGTCGTGTTGGAAGGGAGGGCGAGCTGCTCAGTGATCTTCTTTAGGATGGGAGTCTCGCGGAGCTGGCAGCAGCGTCGGTAGACACGGACCGGGTCGGTGGTGGGCGAGGATGATGAGCGCGGGACAGGCGCTGTTGCGGAGGTAGCGGAGGCAGTGCTATCGCTGTCACCCCTGACGAGCTCGACGGGGATAGTCCCGCTCTCCTCGGCGAGCTTGCGCTTCTTTTCCTTGCGCGCCTTACGCTCCTCATCGCTCTTCTTCTTCTTCTCCTTCCTCCGCGTCATCGGCTTCTCCGGCGAGATCTGCGGTGCGCCGTTCGTCGCGGGCTCTACGCCCTCCTTAGCCGATTCCTTCCCCACCTGCTCCCCAGATACATGGACCACCCCATCCTTCTCCTTCTGCTCCTTCACCTCAGCAGCATGCTTCAGCGCCTCCCCCTCCCCCTTCTCCCCCAACTTCTTCTTCCTCAACTTATCCCTCGCCATCTCCACAGGCTCCTCATCATTATACCGCGGCCGACTCGCAATCTCCACATCCACACAAAACGCCACCCTCCTCAACTTCGCCTGATCCAGCTCCGGCATACAGCACCTCTCCCTCCCCACATCAACATTAAGCACCCTCCTCTCGCAGATCCCGCCATTCCCCCTCGGCGACCCCGACGACGCAAGCTGCCCCCCCGACGACAGCCGCCTCAGCGCACTAGTCAGGAAATTCGGATGCGTCGACTTGGGCGGGACAGGCGTGTACGGCGCATTGCCATCTCCCGCCTTCTGTCCATGCGGGAGCACTGCATTCCGCAGCGCCGTCTGCACAGGCGGGCGCGGCTCCTCCTCTTCAGGTGTGCTTGACAACGGCGCGACAGGCGAGCGCGGGGTCTGTTCGCCACCCGCTGCTGCTGCGGCGGCGGGCTGGGCGCTGGAGGGGGAGGAGGAGAACTTCGAGGAGATGCTGGATAGCCAGGAGTTGCGGCGGATGCCAGTTGGGCCGTGGAGGGTTGATTTTCCGGGCAGGCTTGAGGGAGAGCCTACTTTGTCTGTGGTTGGGATTGTGCGTGTGGGGGGTCCGGCGCGTTGGGGAATCTGGCGGGGCGTTGAGGGAGAGGTTTCTCGGGGGGCGGAGGTGGTGGTTGTGGTGCCGTTCGTTTTAGGGGCTGGGGATGAGCGGCACGCTATGTCGGATGTGAGGGAAGTAGATCGTTCTGATCGTGTGGAGCGTGTGATTTCTGGAGAGTGGGATGTTAGCCGTGGTCAGAACAGTGTTTAGTTTTGTCAATCCGGGGTAGGTGTTTGGTTCAGCTCTCTCAATGGAGTTTGCAGCTGCAGCTCTTTGAATCTTGCCTCACTCGAGAGCGCAACTCAGAGCCCCCAGTCTTATCGGCGGTCTTTAAGGCATCCTCAGCCGCAGCCCTCCCAACCTTGGCTTCAGCTTCAGCTCTCCCGACCATGGCTGCCTCACCCAAGACCACCTCCCCCACCACACCACCACCAAAGAACAAGACAGACAACAACATACCTCTACTATTCGTATTATGCAACCACGACACATCCACCCCATGCATATTCTCCATCTTGCTCTCCTACTCTTTCTATCCCACCCGTCTCCGTCGTCTCAATGTCTCAAATGGGCGTAGCGCGTGTGGCGTGGGGTCGTATAGGTCCGATCGTAGAACCCCAAGTCAAGTCGCAGTCGCAGACACGGACGCAGCAGTGTGACCGTTCAAGGCGAATGTCACGATCGCGCTCGCACCATGATGAACCACAGCGCAGTGTTGGGAGTGGGAGCCTCGCGGGACTTTTTTGGTTGGCGGTGTTCGAAGTTGTAGAAGTGGTAGAAGGGTTTCGGTGAGGATAAAGGTATAAGCGTGGCTGGAGGGATGATGCTGGGCTATTATTGGTACTGGAGGACTACTCGGACCCGTGTAGTTTATGCGTGGGGGAGACGGTGATGACGGTGATGACGGTTATGGGGGAAGAACGTGATGGGGGGACCCAAGTATTTGCTTTTGGTGGGGTGGTGGAGGTGGGGAGCGGTACTTGAGATTAAGCGAGAGATGCTATATAATCAGAAGTACCAATGGGTGAACGGGTTGACGGTTGATAGGTTGACGGTTCGTCCACTCACACGCGATGGATGTGGAGAACGGCCAACCAGAGGAGTTTATCCAAAAACGTTAGTACTTGGTAGTAGTAAGCACATTGGTAGAGTAAGATTATCTTTAGTGGAAGTTAGGGAAGTTAATAGAAGTATCTTATAGTAGAAGCACATCGGTAGAGTACGGAGTCTGTAGTAAAGTAAGATTATCTTTAGTGGACGTTAGGGAAGTTAATAAAAGTATCTTATAGTAGTAAGCACATCGGTAGAGCACGGAGTCTGTAGTAAAGTAAGATTATCTTTAGTGGAAGTTAGGGAAGTTAATAGAAGTATCTAATAGTAGTAACCACATCGGTAGAGATACTTTCTGACGACCAGAGTGGTGGGATATAGCATGATCGGCGTAGTTTGCAGCTATAGAGGAAATATAGGTGGATATATACATAGCCGCCGCTCCTCTTGAGAATAGAATATCTTATAGAATGAATGCCGTAACTAACAGCAATGCCACTGCGGCTATAAGCATCCTATACCTTTACGGCACTTTGGTACTGAAGAAAACCGTTAACCCATCCATCTGTCAATCCGATAGATAATCCCTCATGCATGATCGTAAAAACAACTTCCCAGCCTGGTAGTAGGTCAGGCTGGGTGCTAGGGTTAGCTCGGGCCAGGTTACGTATAAGGAAAGTGGTCTTGCCGCACAGTTAGGCGTTAGATAGACCAGCTCCGGCTGGACTATATACTGGAATTATACAGTATAAGGAATATATCATCCCTCACCATCCCATCAGCGTCAGCTTTAGGGATCAGTTGATCCCTAGTACACCTAGTACCCTTGTACGGAGCCTTTCCCGTAATATTGATTTTAGGTCACGTGGTGCATAATTTAAACTCTGACGTCTACCAAGTACCACAGTACCGAATATCAAAATATGCCAAGCTCTCAACCAGTCACGTGATAAACATGGGAGGACGACACCAAAATATCAAAAAATATATTCTACAAGGAATTAATTCGAAGATACTGCGTTAAATTTACTAAATCCCCTTAACACCTATATAACTAGATACATCATAAATACACTCTACATCTCCTCGGATGAGCCGACTCAACTCCCCACTCCACCGTACCTCGGAGCTGTCCATGCGTCTCCAGCCGTCCGACCAAAAAATTAAGCGGGGCAAGTGGTCTGGCCCGCCCTCACTTTCCCCCTCCAAATTATATTTTATATTTTATATTGCTCGTCCTATCATTGCTATCCCTATCCCCAGTTGAGAGTAGAAGATAGTAGAAGGGATCTGTACATGCAAGAAGCTCTGTAAGATTTTGCTGTACTTTAGCTAGCAAGACCAGACTCCCGTCAACCACTCTCGAGACTGCTAGCACTCGCTCCCATTGCTACCCCGTCGAGATGGCAGACGACGACAAGATGGTAGACCGCGGTGATGCAGTGTCTAGCCTCGGGGATTCTAAGCATGGTTTTAAGACTGTTGATGGCGGCAGAGCAGTGGTAGAAGACACAGAAGCTGCTATCCTAGAAGATGTCGAAGTCGCCAAGGTCGAGGCTGTCTACAGGTACGTGATCACAGACTCATTTCCTCGCACGCACGACTAACTATCTACTAGAAAAATCGACCGCAGGATCATTCCTCGTGAGTCTCACTCTCCCCATCAACCCCTTTATCACCAACCCCTCCTCTTACCACTCTCCCTAACTCCCAGCACCCTCACTAACCCCCTTTAGCATTCTGGATCCTCTACTTCCTCTGCTCCGCCATCCGCTCCAACGTCGGCCTCTCCCAAACCATGAACGCCTCCGTGCACCACGACCTCGCCTCCATCCTCCACCTAACCGCCAAACAAGTCTCCCTGGGCCTCGCCCTCTTCTACGTCTCCTACGTCATCTTCGACCTCCCCTCCAACCTCATCATGTCCCGCCTCAGTCCCCGCGTCTGGATGGCCCGCATCGTCTTCGCCGTCGGCGTCATCGGCGCCTGCTTCGCTGCCATCAAAGCAGCTTGGTCACTCTTCCTCCTCCGCTTTCTCCTCGGTGTCGTAACGGCGGGAATGTGGCCGGGGATGGCTTACTACCTCACCCTCTTCTACCCCCCCTCCCGCACTGGAAAGCGCATCGGATACTACTTTTCCGCGGCCCAGCTCTCTGCCGCAGTCGGGGGCCTCGTCTCCGCGGGCTTCCAGGAAATGGATGGCCTCCACGGCCTCGTTGGGTTCCAGTGGATGTTCCTTGTCTACGGCGTCCTAGGCGCCGCCCTCGGCATCGCCCTGCTCTGGTGGCTCCCTGAGCGTCCCCTCGTCCCCGGCCAGGTCGCGCCAGAGAAAAAGGGACTGCTGCGCTGGCTGCCGAGTCCGAAGCCCATACTGACGGGCGAAGACGCTGAAATCCATTATCGGGATCTTGGGAGGGTGTATCACGTGCGTCCGTGGACGACGAGGGATCTACTCCGCGTTCTGGCGGATTGGAGGTTATGGCCGCTGGTGATTATGTATTTTGGCGTTGTAGGCGTGGGAATCGGGACACAGCTTTACGGCTCCGTCATCATCGCCGGCATCGACCCCGGTTTCTCCTCCATCACCGTCAGCTTGCTCTTCGCACCCATCTGGATCGTACGCCCCCCCATCCACCCCTCACCCCACTTCACCACCACCAACAACCCAGCTAACCCAACACCCGCAGATGGACCTCCTAGCAATCCTCCTCATAACCCCCCTCTCCGACCGTTTCCACCGTCTCCGCCCCCACTTCTTCATCACCGCCGTCCTCGTCCAAATCGCCGGTCTCCTAACCACCACCTTCGCCCCCCCCTCCCGCCCTGGGCCCGCTACGTCGGCCTCCTCCTCGTCGGCACCGGTCTCGGCCCCACCGTCCCCATCACGATGACATGGACTTCTGAGGTCTTCCAAGCCCGCCACGGGGAGGTAGGCGTCGCGGCTGCGTCGGCGCTGGTGAGTGGTTTGGGGAATCTGGGGAGTATCACCACGACGTATGCGTTGTACTCTGGGTGGCCGGATGATGCGGTGAAGGGGCCGCATCGCTTCAGGGGGAGTAATTTGGCGATGATTGGGATTTTGTGTGGGAGTATCATTGCTGCCATCACGATGACGGTGTTGCTCCGCTACTTCGGGAATGAACCCGCCAAGGTCGTCAGTAGTGGTAGCTCTACCACCACCACCAACGCCACCGCCGCAGACGCGGTCATCGTAGACGGTGCCGCACGTCGTGAAGTCCAGGAGCGAGGTCTAGGACGGCGGTGCTGGACTCGTGGCGCTTAGTTCGCCTAACTAACTAACTAACTAAGAGATCTCATCATGCGGAGTGCCCATAGTCCTGATCCTGCATCTGACCCTCTGTGTATGGTCGTTGTTCGAGAGGGGGTGTGGGTGCTTCTCTCTGTGATGAGATGGTGGGGGGAGAGGTTCAACATCTATTTCATTTGTTTCCGCAGCCCAGCCCATTTCAACCTGTGCATTGCACCGCATTCACTTCTCATACGACCTATTCACCCCCCTCCCCCCCCCACCCCCTGTCTCCACAACAGCAGCGGGGCGGGGCGGGGCGGGGTACGATCCGGTCCATTTACCTGACTTTTTTATTCACACGCATCATCATCACAGAGATACCCACGCATATACCACAACAGGCGTTACCCTCATGAACATATCCCGAGCCACTCCATATACCCATTATTAGACAGAAAGGAGTGGGGGCTCGGGCGGCGACAGTGCTTTTTACGCCATCGCTGGGACGGAATTGGCGTTTGAATGGGGTGTATTTTGGGACGCTGGGGAGTGACAATGCTGCGCGCTATTGTTCTTGCTGCGTCTCGTGGGGTCTATTTATTTGTTTATTGGACTTTTATGTTTCTAGGGGATAGAGATTTCGGAGAGGATGGTTTGGGGCGCGGTAGATATAAGTACGGTATATATGATAGAGGGGAATATATATTTCTCATTTATCCATTTATCATAGTCATATCCTCTATATGTGCAAGTAGCTGAATACCCCCCACTTATGAACAGAAACCCCATATATACCGCCTGCAGCAGTCCGGGAATAGAAAATCCACGTATATAAACCCCAGCACACGAGACATCCGACGTCGCAACCCCCCATATGGACAGAACAGACATCTCATATTTACCCACCACCCGCACCATACCCGGGGATAGAAAATCCATGTATATAAACCCCCCCACCACGCCAACTCCGGTCTCATCTGCATCGTCACAGACCCATAAATATGAATCAGATAACCCCAACCTTTAGTCAATGCGGCGTAGGGTTCTTGAACACAACCAACAGATGTGTTGTGTCTAAGAACCCAGGCGCTCTCTCTAGCCCGCATCTGGCTATGCTCCGTCCAGGCCTCCGAATCACACCCCTGCCATTCTTGTTGCCGTTCCAGGCTGTCGGCAGGGTTAGCAATTCGAGTAGACTCATGAGTTTGAAACCAAACTCAACTCATTGAGTTGAGTTTAGAGTTTAGACCTGTACTCAAACTCAAATTCACCAACTCGAGTAGACTCATGAGTTAATGAGTTAGAAAATGCATTAAACCTATTTAGGTATAACGTGCATGTATAACGAAAGTGCCAAACAAGCGAAAGTGCCAAAATCATGCGGTGACCAACCCCCCCAACTAAATGTTAAATTCCTCCACAACAAAACATGCGCCATAAAAATGATGAAAGCAAATTAGTGCTAGCTATCCAAGCTATGCAAAGCGACCCAAATTTGCGCCTTCGAGTTGCAGCTAGGATCTATTCCGTAGACCACCGCAAGCTACGTCACCGTTTACAAGGCGTACCTTCACGACGCGATATCCAAGCCAACTTACGGAAATTAAGTAACCTAGAGGAATCAGTTCTTGTTCAGTATATACTTGACTTAGCTGCTAAAGGGTTCCCTCCTCAGTTGTCTATTGTTGAAGATATGGCAAATCGACTACTTGCAACACGCGACGCGCCACGCGTCGGGTCACGTTGGGCTTCAAACTTTGTTAAGCGCCATGTAGAGCTCCGGACACGCTTCCAGCGAAAATACGACTACCAGAGGGCTAAGTGCGAAGATTCAGAAGTCGCTGGTTTGAGCTTGTATGGAACACAATTCTAAAGTATGGCATCAACAATGCAGATATCTACAACTTTGATGAGACTGGGTTTATGATGGGCGTCATCTCAAGCGCAACGGTAGTAACGAGCTCAGATGGGCGGGCAAAGGCAAAAAAGGTGCAGCCTGGCAATCGGGAATGGGTTACAGTAATCCAAGGCGTTAGTTCTCAAGGTTGGGCAGTGCCGCCATTTGTCATTGTGGCAGGTAAAAACCACCTTGCATCTTGGTATGAGAATAGCGGATTTCCAGCAGATTGGGTAATTGCTGTTACTGCAAATGGCTGGACTACAAACGAGAGAGGTATGGATTGGATTCAGCATTTTGAGAAGCACACAAAGCCCCGGAGTGTTGGTGGTTATCGCTTGTTAGTCCTTGATGGTCATGAGAGCCACCACTCAGACAAGTTTGAGGAGTACTGCAAAGAACACAACATTATTACGCTTTGTATGCCTGCTCACTCTTCCCATATACTCCAACCACTTGATGTTGGCTGTTTTGGCCCATTAAAGAGAGCTTACGGTCGGCAAATTGAAGATATGATGCGGGCTCATATTATTCACATTACTAAGGATGACTTCTTTCCTGCCTTCCACGCTGCATTTAACATTGCAATGACAGAAAGCAATATTCAGGGAGGGTTCCGAGGTGCTGGGCTTCTTCCATTTAGCCCTGAGTGTAATATCTACACTTGACCTTAGGTTTAAGATGCCAACACCTCCAACCTCTCGCCCAAACACCGCTCAACCATGGGTTTCTCAGACACCAAATAACCCAACTGAAGCTGTATCACAGTCTACTTTCATTAAAAACTGAATTGCGCATCATCAAAATAGCTCTCCAACCTCAATCTATGCAGCTGTTGACCAGTTTACAAAGGGTGCATCGCAAATAATGCATCAATTAGCATTGTTAAAAGCAGAGAACCAAAACCTGCGACAGGCAAATGAAGTGCTAAGCAAGCGCCGGAGAGCTAAAAAAACACAACTACAGGAAGGAGGATCACTTAGTCAACAGGTAGCACAGGAGCTAGAGGACGAGAGGGACGTTGTGCAGCAAGTAGAGCAAGAAATAAGGGCAAGTAGTGGTCGGAAGCCAAGGGAAGAAACCCATGCACGTCGCTGTGGCAAGTGTGGTGAGACTGGACACAATGCGCGCACTTGTCAGATTGTAATAGACAGGTCTGAGGAAGAGGACTCCGAGTAGTTTTAATTAATTTATATTGTTGTGGTGGATTTATCGCAATTCTTATGGGGTAGTCGCGATATTTTGGCACTTTCGCTTGTTTGGCACTTTCGTTATACATGCACGTTATATACAAGCTGTATTAACCACGTAACATAATGAAAAATGATCTAAAGTATATAACTTACTTTAATGAGGGCTTGTAGTATAGAAAGTAGTGCATTAGGCTATCTAGTATATTCTAAAAGCAGCACTTAATCTATATATTATAGAACTAAGAGAGAAGCTCCTTAGTTCCTTAGTTAGAGATAACAGCAAGAATTTGCGGTTAGATAGAAGGATCCACTAGTACTTAGCTAGCTTAGTCTCTTCTCTTAACATCTCCTGAACCTAAAAGGTACTAAGTGTATTAGAATCCAACTAAAAGCTATAGAACTTAGTATCATAGCCATTAGGGTACTAGTTAGCAGGGCTAGGAAGGTAGACTTGTTTGCTATTAAAGCTCGATGATGTAAAGTTCTGCTAAACTGCCATCTATGTCTTAGTAAAGTAGAGGTGTAGGGGGGTCTTCTTATAATAAGTTCTATAATGTGGTTTATTAGTACCTTGCACATATTAGTACCTTGTGTACTTTCCCCCTACTGCAATGGTGGCTGCACTAGATGTGAGAATCTAGCCACCCAAGGAAGGGATGATTTTACTAAGACAACACACTGTCTTAGGAAACAGAGCCAAAGGGTTGTAGCTTAGACTATTCCACAATGCAGCAATCAAGTGTATGATGTAGTGGAGTGGTTTAGACAAGTTGTACAAATGTTGAGTCTGAGAACTCAGGGGTAATGTCATACTGACATTCGTTGCACTCAGTTTGCTATCAAACTCAAGAGCAAACTTAGAAATCTCCTCCTCAAACCTACAAGTCACTATACATATTTTCGCTTATCACACCAACAACAAGAGCAATACTACTTAACAATTGCTACAACCCTCTATGATTCATTACATGTCATCACCCCTTAGTTACTGGGCTGATATTACCGCATAGCATATCTCTACAACACTCTATGATTCATTACACGTCATCGCTCCTTAGTTACCCACAAGATTGGTTAAGTTATGACATAATTTGTCTATAGGGGTACTCTGACCTTGGCCCTCCTTTCACTTCCTATAGGCTAGGAACCTAGCAGATGGTTCTATGGGATACGACTCAGGAGAACTACACATTGACCACGACTCGGTGACGTTTCAGAGTAGAGACCTGACGAATTCAAATAGCTGTGATTCCAGAGATCTCACGGACAGCCAGTGGATCAGGGTTTGATTCTTCAGAACAAGCTGGTAAAGTCGTTGACTCGTTGGCGCCGAATAGGATACGAGATCCTTAAGAACCCCCTCCTAGAACAGAGGAAATTGTGGACAAGAGTGCTGATAGCTACGAGCTACCGGAAGTCAAGCTCTTTCGTATCAATACTGATACACACCCGAGGCAATATGTCAAGAAAGCTGACATCAAACACACCCCAAGGCAACGACGGTCAACTGCCTAGAATGACTACCAGACAAACCACCGCTGCAGCTACAACCGCTGTGCCATCCGAAGACATCCCGAGTCGAATGGCCCACCTCAAAGCACAGATACAGGAGGTCAAGGATCTATTAGTTACCCTGACTGTAATGGTGGGTGCACCAGATGTGAGAATCTAGCCACCCAAGGAAATCAAGTGTATGATGTAGTGGAGTGGTTTAGACAACTTGTAACAAATGTTGAGTCTGAGAACTCAGGGATCAAAGGTTAGCACCTCACTGACTTTTCAGAAACAAGGAGTAACAAGATCAATGCTTGGAAGCTTGGAAAAGACATGGAAGTATGTGATAGTCGATTTACTGTATTGTCTGGTTGCCCTTTCTTAAGGAAAGGGCAATCCTATTTATGCTAAAGGAGTGTAGTTCTCTCATTTTCCAAGACTTTCCATGACTAACCAGGCTTGGTAACTGTAGTCAATGTAAGAGATCGTTCAGGTGTGGGATATTATTGAAGTACGGCCGTCCCCGGCAGGCGTGATATTTTTTGTATAATGTAAGGACACAGGGCACCCAGCTCACAGTAATAGAATATGGGAGTGCGAGTCAGAGGCTAAACGGATGCTATCCTATAGGTCTACTACGAAGGATACAAAAAAGATGATGAGGAACCCCGTT